TTTACCGAACATTTAAGACGTGTATGGAAAACGGAAGTAGTATTGATAAATACATACATAGGTGTATAGTTTAGCCGTTCAGCTATACTATTTATTAAAAACAAATTTAAAAAAGGACCCCAGTAAAGCCGTACGGCTATACTCATAATTTAAAAAAGGACAAATTATAGTAAACCCCTCAACCTATAGGGTCATTTACAAGTTCATACCCGATTCTGGAGACATTTACGAGTACATACTCAACGTTGCGGAAAACCTGCAATTTGCCCCCTCCGTTAGCCCAACTATTAGTGAGTTTGTTAAATGCTGACATGTCAAAAGTGGGACCCATTTTTTTGATGACGTGGACTTCCACTCCAACCCAGCCAACCACCACCACGACCTTGCCCACCCCTTCCCAGCCCCCTCTCCGTCTCTGCCCCACCCCCGTTCTTCGTCACAACCATCATCTTGCCCAATTGCTTATAATCCGTCTATTTCGTTATTGTGCAAACCAAATTTTTTTAATTTAAAAGTGAGAACCTCTTTGATTCTTCCAAAAAGATGAAACCCCAAGTTCAGCTCAGTCGAATTCCACTACCCAGATCCAAAATGAAGCATTTGAATGAGTATACAAAACACATCACAGAGTGCAAATGACTGTATTTCATCACAATTTTAAAGAAAAACCATTTGTTCTGTTTCATTCAACCAAAACATACACTCAAATCTACTTTCTCAGCATCCAAACAAAGCCAGAAAGCAAGAAAAGAAGGGCAACCCATTAAAACCCGTTAATTTCTGGGCGAGTTTTGCAAAACTTTGAAATCTGGGTTTGAGAGGATCCATGGTTTCTCAGAAGCCCCAATATGGAGTTTGCGTTTTCTAGGGACTACAACTTGATCCCATGAGATTTGGGTTTGAGAGAATCCATGGTTTCTCAGAAGCACCAAAACGAAGTCTAAGTTTTTTGAGGATTGCAACTTGATCCCTTTGGAAGTTGGCGATCGTAAGGTCTTCGAGGGAAGCAAGAGGAAGAGGCAGTTGATGAGGATAGAGATCTTGCCCTTGGTTCTATCCAACGACAACGAGGTCAGTGGCGATGACTTTGAAGGCGGTGTGCACGGAGGAAGGGTGGGTCGGTGGGGGTGTGGGAAGAGGCAATCAGTTTGGGTGGGGTGAGGTGGGGCTAGGAAGAGAAAGAGACAAAGAGAAATTGTTTTCTTTTGATTTTTGATTTTTAATTTAATTGAATAATATTATTTACTTGTTTATAATTATTTTTAAATTATATTGAATTTTTTTAGTATTTATTTGTCCACCTGTAAGTCCACCTCATTAATAGATTCATTAACGGTTTGGCTAACGGAGGGGGCAAGTTATAGGTTTTCTGCGACATTGAGTATGTACTCGTAAATGTCCCCAAAATCGGGTATGAACTCGTAAATGACCCTATAGGTTGGGGGGT